CGCCAATGCTTCATAAGCCGTGTCCTGTTCTAAAAAGCCTTGGCAAGGCGCTCAGACCCGCCATGCAGTTCCAGAAGTGACTGCCTTGCAAAGGTTCCAGGCGCCGCCACAACCATGGCAAATGTTTGAGGGTGTGAGCGGATGGCGCTGGCCGGGATTGACCAGAATTCTATCCTGCTAGCTCCGGCTCAAGACCAGCGCCAGCATCCCCAGCCGGTGACCCCCAAACAAGCAGACGCTAGAGGAAATCGCAAGCATGGTGCTGTTGTACTTGATTTTTTACACCCCAGAGCGGTTCAGAGCTATTTCTAAAATACTCGGAGCTATTTCTAAAAACCCGGAGCTATTTCTAAAAAGCCCAGAGCTATTTCTAAAAATCGCGGAGCAACTCTGAAAAGCCCGCCACGATTTCTCAACAAAAAGGGTCCTTGGTATCTCGGCACTTCCCATGCCAGTCTGGTGAAGCTTACATCTCACTCATTGAGAGAATGTTGGACGTTGCCACTGCCAAACTGATACTTGTCACTTTGAGACCTCACACAGTTTGCCCAAGCAACTCCGGAGTACTTTAAGCTATTCCTGCACCATACCGTGCTCTGCACCGGGCTAGTTGGCCCCGCTCACTCGTCAAAACGCGCAGTCTGCAGTTGACCCACCAGCAAAATGATGCTATGATATTGTTAGGATTTGAGTATAAAGGGAGTGATATGGTTGGATTCGTGTGCCTCTTGCTTAGCTTTAACCGTTTCCTTGTGTGTTGCACGTCGCAAGTTATGTTATTTGGCTGTGACACGCCAACGTTGGAGTTTAGAATCCGCTCTGAACCGCTCCGAACCTTTTGTAAATCCTGTTCAGGTACCGCTCTAAACCGCTCTCAGCTGTTTGCAACATTTGTCGAGAACCCGCTCTAAACCGCTCAGAGCCATTTCCAGCTCCATTAGATGTAGGAATGAGTCAGAAACCGCTCTAAACCGCTCTAAACCGCTCTGATCTATTTGATGTTATTCTGGCATGTTTTTTGTAATAGCTCCAAACCGCTCTGAACCGTTCAGGGCTATTTCTAAGGCATAGCCCTGAACCGTTTAGAGCCGTTCCTCACTCTTCCTTAGGAACAGTTCTGAACAGATCGGTATATCATAAGCTATTAAAACAGATAGGACTACTTGAACTATGTTATGCTGCCTTATCATCTTCACCTATAGCTCCTTCACAGCTACTCCTAACAATGCTAGACTAGACTATGAGAGTGTGTTCGCATAATGTTGTTGTGTAGCTGTGCAACTACAGGTTGTGTGAGAGCTGGCCCTCTTGTCCGCTTTGATTGATAGCTTTAGCGGTTCTGTTTGAGCTCAGATATGGCTTCATATTTTGTGTCTGTCCTTTCATTACACGTATGAAGAGACCTCTTGCCAGATTATGCCTGCTCTACCTACAACTTAAACAGCACTGGCATTTTCTGTGAATTTCTATTACTAGCCCTTCCACCGAAGCTTTGCCAATGCCTCCGGCCTTGTACAGATTGTCATTGACATGTTACATGTTTTCTTCAAACTCGGTAAATATTTTATATATAGCTCCATGGGATTTCTTGGATTTCTATAAATAGCTCCTGGGATTTTCATAAACAGCTCCATTGGAATTCTTGGAATTTTATAAATAGCTCCTGGGATCTTATAAATAGCTTCTGGGATTTTATAAATAGCTCCTGGGATTTTATAAATAGCTCCTGGGATTGTATAAATAGCTCCATGAGATTTCCTTGGATTTTATAAATAGCTCCATGGGGTTTCCTGGGATTTTATAAATAGCTCCTGGGATTTTGTAAATAGTTCGTAGGGCTCACCATTACAGTATGTTTATGTGTGTGTGTGTGTGTTTATGCGTGTGTTGGTGTTGTTGTTCAATGCGCTTTTGTTGCCAGGGCCCGTGGGAAATCCAACAGTTCCAGTAGACCGAAGCTTTGTTTGGCCTGAACCAATGCGCAACGCTTTGTATTTTTGCGTGGCGGCGTCTACTCTGAATTCTTTTGCCAACGCTGGGAACAGACGACCTTTGGTCAGATTTGCTTTCGGCGAGAATTCCAAACCACTTCTCAGCCCTTGGGGTTGTTGTTCCCGACAACCTCCCTTTGAAAGAGGGCCGATGCTTCTAAACAGCAATGGTTGAACCGAAATACAAGGAACCGGCGGCAAGATACTTGGTTCGTTGAAGTGCTCGACACATCTTTTTTTCTCCTTCCAACAACGGCAAGGACAAAGACCCAGCATGGCCACCCAGGCTTGGTTTCACCCCCTTTTACGCCAATGGGTGTCCACTCTTGGGCGGTGGGTTCCCAACCAAAAGTCATCAACCCCACAGGGTCACCGGGCTGGGGTGATGAATGTGACAAATTGATAGTCCTCAAGGAAAAACGGTGACTGGCAAGCAGTGAAACTGGGCCAGCTGCCCAATCCATTCCGCCGCCGCTGGCCAGGTACGCGTGTACACGTTTTGGCTATAGGCCAGCGACCCCGTTTTTCACGACGAAAACCGGTGGGGACTCCTGTTATTTTGTAAGGGAGGCCCGTTGTGACAACGTGGGCGTGTCTTCGTTTGGTCGCCTTTTTTGGGTTTGCTTAAAGGGCGACCAAACGGAAGCCGACATTTTTTTAGGGTTCTACCTTTTTGAGACACGTACACTCCCACGTAAGCTGCTGTCTCCTCGCATCCACAAATCAGCCAAAGGCTTAGATCGCATGTTGGTATTTCAAAAGCGCACACTTGCTTCTCCAGCCTGCGGGCGTCCTCATATTTCATTTACCTTTTCTGACCAATCTCAAATTTGAGAACATAACATGACGGCATGAAGGGACTCAGTTTGGCGCGTTTGTTATGAGAAGTTCTTTTTTCGCGCCTCCATGTCCAACAGGGCATGCCCGTTGCAACTCCAAATCTTAGCTGTGCGTGTCCCAGCGGGCTTGCGTCCATGGGATCTAAGCAGTGGAGGCTTGTCTCACCCAAGGGTTCCGAGTTAACCTTCTGACTTGTTTGCTTTGAACAAATTCCTATGGGGATAGTTTTACCTCTTTGGCCTGGCTGCCAGTAAGACGTAAGATGCTTCAAAATACGGAAGGTGACGCCCGGCTTCCTGGATGTTAGGAATACCGAGCTGCCAACACCCGTGCAAGGCGGTTGTCAAGCTGCTACGCGGGTGGCATGTGGGTGACGTGATGGGGGCATGTAATTGCCCGGCTAGCGCGCCTTTTCTTTCAGAGTGTAACTGGCAACTTGTGGCCTAGTCCTTGTCAGGTTTTATTAGATGTTCTGGCGCAGCCGGAATTCGCTATGAGCAGTGAGCAGGCCCTGAGAGAAGAGCTGGGCAAGTTCCCAGACCCCGATGATCAGGCCTAAACCCACCCCCTATGTTCCAGGAATTCGCACAGTCATGACGGAAGGCGAAGGCGTTGCGAAGTAGACTCGTCCCAACGTTTTAGGAAGAAACGGGGGTTCCTTTGCCTCGACAAAACCTGGAACAAAGAACCAATCGAAAGGTTAGAAGTTTGGCTTGGACAACTGCAAGCGCTCTTTCTACCCAGCCCCGAGACCAGGAGGTGACCCTTGGCATGTTGCCAGAAGCAGACCCAACAGCAACAGCCAAAAGACGTATACATATCAACAACAAGCTCCCCTACTATTCGGACGATCCTTTTGAAACATACCCTGCTAGATCCCACTCATTGAAGCTAGTTGGTGGCTGCTCCAGGCAGCAGGCAGGGCGCAAGTGCATGCAGAGGAATCACAGGGTTCCGAAGGATGGACAACGTGAAGATCTTGCATAGTCTATAGGCATTCTCTGGATGTTGCCACTGGCCACTAGCACATTCCTAATCCCTAGTCATACCCCACAAAATGAAGCCGGCTCTATGCCTAGGAGCAACTCAGTAAACCCCCGCTTTACTTGATTTCTGTTTTCTTGCAAACCAGAAACCGCTAAAAGGCGGCGAGGGCTGAAGGTACTTCTCGGGCAGAAACAGTCATGACCAAAAATGCTCATGTAGGTTCTGGCAATAATCCCAGGAGAACAAAGCCGAGGGTTTACACAGAAACTGATGTAGTCCGTGGCAAAAAACGCCCGTCTTTTTGGAGTTCATTTGATGACAAGAAGCATCAAAAAGGAAACAACCCATTGCGGGCCTCGGAAAATGGGGCGCAGGGTGACGCCCACTTCATGAAAGAGGCCAACCGAGCGTTTTGTTCGAACAATGCAGTGTTGAAAAACAGCAGATTTTAAATGGGTTCTCAGCCGAATGTTTCGGGTTGGGGGCCCGGAGAAACAGTGAATGGCTTGCCTGCCGAACGTTTCGGGTTGGGGGTCGCTTCAATATCTGGCCCAAACGTCTACGCCAGTAAAAGCGAAGCAAACCGCTCCTCATTCTTGGAAGTGCCCTCCAAGAATGCTTCGCGAGACACTTTGGCGTCTTAGTTGCATTTCGCCATCCCAGTCCAGAACGAATCTCGGTATAGACGGTGGTAAGATGGTCGCGTTGTTGGACCCTGGTGCTGCCCATAAAAGCGCAGCTGCCACAAATTGGCGCACATTGTTTCGTCATATCACTACAGTGTGACAGACAGACGCGTGACAGAGACCGTGACAGACAGCTGCGGCAGAGAGGGGGTGAGAGAGAGACAGAAAGAGAAAGAGAAACAGAAAGAGATGTTGACAAGTAGCTGCGAGAGAGCTTGTCACAGCTAGCTGTGACAGAGCTTGTGACGACAGACGGGTATGACAGAGCTTGTGACGGACAGCCAGCCGAGACAGCCCAACGCATAGCGCTCTCGCCGTGGCGGGGTTGGGAAAGCCGCGAAGCCTGCACCTCCTGCCAGTGGGCGGGTCAGAGCCTCTCGCCGGTGGCTGTGGGGCGCCCGTCAAACAAGCATCAAGAATGAGTGCCACTAAAAGTAGATGCTGGATGCATAGCTGAAAACTTGGCAAAAGTGAAGAACTCTTTTTTCAACGGGGCACTGATGCAAAAGTCTGCGGAACAGCTTGGTTCAAGTCGCTCCGGAGCGGCCCTTCGACCTGTTCTCCGATTCGACACTTTCGGGTTCCTCCAAACATCTTTGGCCCATCAAGAACAAACACCTTCACGACTGCGCAAAGTCTTGGTAGCGTATATTGCCTTCCAGATCCCGAGATTTTTGGTTCAGGTGTTCTATGTGCTGAAGGGCGGGGGAATGAAGGGAATGCGGAACAAGGTTCACCATTCGAGTTTGTTGTTAACCGGGCCCATCCGACATGGTTCCGGTCAAAACAAGCGTAGCATGTCTGACGCATGGCTTGCAGCGAATTCCAGCCTGGCACTTGGAGAAAGCGCCGTCTCCCAGACCTTTTTGGCTGCTGACCGTCAGGGGTCCTGTATTTGTTCATGCATGGGCGTTTTGAGGCACGATGCTTGTTCAAAGTACATGCTTGGCCCCTACACCAGGTAATGACAGTTTTGCACGAGCGGCGCCCCTCTTCGAACCGTGGGCCTTGTTGCAATTGAACAACCCAGTCTTGGCAGCACAATCCGGGCAACCTAGTGGGTGAACATATATTTGAATTTCAACCCTCCCGCGTTTCGACCACTTTGGTTCACGCAAACCCTCTTAGGGAACAAGCCTGGCTCTTCTTTGCTTAATGCCAGGTTGGCTGAAAGCACTGCTTTCGGGTAGCAAGTTGAGGTAAGAGTTTCGTTTTGGCGGGGTGATGATCAAGCAGGTAAACCTCGCAATGTAACACAAAGCAGAGGTCCGAACAGATGGGCGTTTGTGCACTCCTTTTGTCCCCTTCGTTGACGCCAAGCCCAAATTGGCAGACCCTCAACAACAGTCAACGCCGTGACTTTTGGTATTTTAAATGAGTGGTTAGCAAGCCGCTTGGGGTTAGAGTCAGACATGTTTCTTAGAGGTGGGCCTGCCCACAAGGCGCGCTGCCAGCGTTGAGCTAGGGTTTGTCAACAACACGTTGCCAGCGTTGATAAGGCGCTTTACGAGCATGGGTTGGTTCATGCCCTTCCCCCTGGAAGTAGACAAATAGTGAAATTGACTGAACCTATGATGGTTAAAGAGTGGTTATAGTGGTTGTAGTTCGAGCAGCACACTGGTGGTTCTTTTGTATAGTGGGGTGCCCTATCGAGCTTTTTCTGTTGCTATGATTTGTTCGGCAGCCGGCGCAACTGAATCTATGTAAAAGGAATCAGTTTTTCGCGCATCCCTCCTCAAGATGCTGTTGGGGATGCGCGATGTGCCTGGGTGCAAATTCCGCCGGTCAAAAGGTGCGCCCTTTGCGAACACAGAGTCAAGAAAGACTTTGAAGCGTCCTGGAAGCCGAGAAAATCTGTGAAGGCATGCAACCTTACAGTTGTCCAAAATGAGAAAGGCCACCTAAGGATTTGGAGTTCTGCATGTTGAGGTGGTCCTTTGTGGGTCCCTTGCGCATTGATGTAACGCGTCTTTTGCCACTCGCGGACTTGTCCCTTGCAGGCTTGTTTCTGATGCCCACCAATTGCCACTTGCGGATTTGTGGTTCGGTGGCCGGCAACTTGTCGCTTGGCGGCTTGTGAGCTTGACGGGATCATCCATCTCGGTCGTCCTCAACTTGTCACTTGCCCGTTTGTAGTTCTGACAGGTTTTAGCCGGCAACTTGGACAACTTGCCACCTGCCAGTTTGCTTGAAACAGTGAAGGTGGGGTTGTCGTTTTGTTTGGGTAGATCCGTTTGAGACGGAATATATATATATATAACATAAGCATATCAACCCAAGAAAACACGAGATTTCAGGCTCCCTTTTTTTCCCACCCTCCAAGCTTGTTGTTCTATCCCTTCCTTTTTTAACCCTCAAACCCTGCTTGGGAACGGTTTGCAAGGGTTGACAAAAAACAGGGAAGGGTTGAAAGAAAGCTTTGGAGGGCAATTTTAAGCTGGAACGTTTGGGGCAGCAGTTTGGGGCAGCCCAACACAAACTTGGCAGCTTCTTGGCTTCTACTTGCGTGCAGACTCTGCGAGTCTATATTCTAGAGCTCCGGCTCCGATCGCGGTGGAACCATGCAGGGGGAAACCCACAAACGCCAACAAAACGAGGTTCTGGGGTTGTCAAGGTCAGTAACTTGGTTGTTTTTGACCCACCTCTCTGACTTTGACACTGGCAACATGGAGCCAGAGTCTTGTACATTTACAGCTCACGGATGGGCCCGTCGAATTGTTCTGATTGGGCGGCACTTCCTCTTGGCTTGCTTGTTTTTGATCGGAAAGGGCTCAAATACAAGGGTTGTACAGTTAGTTAGTTGCTGGCGTCCGAAGCCTTGTTTGGCTGCTTTAACGGGTTCTTTAAAGGCCAGCCCCGAAGTTTCTTGAGCTTGGTACGGATGCACCGATCTTATCTTGCAAGTAACCAGCTGCACACCCCAAGACAACACTTGCTTAAGACTATTTCATTCGATTTCATTGTTGAAAGGATTCTACAGCTATTGGTCATATTAT